GGGGGGCACTGGGGACTGAACCCCCAGGGATTCACCAGGCTGGAGGCGAGCACCCTGCTCCTCCCCGCAGCTGGCAGCGCCGTGGGACAGGATACAACCCCGGTGCTGCCAAACCGGCTGGGCCGGCTGGCGCTCGCGGTGGCGTGGGTGCTCCGGCACCGCCTTGGCATTCTGGGGGCAAAGGGCCTCGGTACCCTGTGCGGCTGGTGGCCCTCCTGCACCGTGTTCCCCCTGTTTCCAGCCTGGGTCCTCAGCAGCCCTCACCCTGCACCCCGAAGTGCCTCGGCTCACCTGTCTCGGCAGGGAAGCTGGCACCCAACGCTGGGTGCTTGGCCCTGGGTTCACCGCCATCCTGGCATAAGGTGGCAGCTGGGTGGGAACGGCCTGTCCCGGGGGGCCTGGCGGCTGTGGGGACCCCCAGCACCCAGCCACATGCCGGTCCCCCGGGTGTTGGCGCTGGGTGCTGGCTCTGCCCTGTGGTATTTTGCTCCGGTGTCCCCCGGTGGGGCCAGGCTGGACCCGCTCCTCCTCTTGTGCAAACAGGACTCTGGCGGATAAGGGCACTGCCAGCACTGCCCAGCAAATGCTGCCGTGTCCCATGTGCCCATGGCGAAGCCCCCCTCACGGCCCAGCCCCAAGGGTGTCCAGTGGGTGCCGCAAGTGCCGGGCTGGCACATGTCCCTGTGCCGTGGCACGTGCCCGCTGCTGTCGCGTTGCTTTGCTCGTCCCCAGCGGCTCTGTGCCCGTGCTGCAACAGCTTGGGAGGCTCTTCCTGACCCTGGATTTCTGGGATCTGATAATGGCTAAATCCCAGTTTTCTGGTCCTCTGTATATGGTGAAACCACCTGGAAAATGAGCACCGCAAGGCTGGGAGCTGGGGCAGGCACCGCTGCCCTTTCTGGAGCCCTGCCTGTCCCCCCCCACCCACCAGGGCCCTGCCATGTCCTTGCTGACCAGTTCTCTCCTCCACACTTCAGAGTCAGGACATGGCATCGATGCCAGCAGCCCAGTGTCTCTAAGCAGCTCAGGGATAACTGTGGTACCGTCTCCATCCATGACATCGGCATCAGCAACACCATCTCCACCCAACACGACCACGGCACTGTCTCCATCCACGAAACCGGGCTCAACCACACCTTCAT